TTCTCGGCTCAGTAGGAGGGAGCTCCACCGACCTGCTCGGCGGGAACGCCGGTCCCGGGCGGACGCGTTTCCTCCGGGTGGCAGAGACTCACAGCCTCTGCGCTCTCTCGGAAACTGGGTTCCTCCAATGAGGCTCAAGGCCGAGCTGCCCCTGGGCTAGCTGCTCAGAGGTGGTGGCCATTGTGCCCAGCCTAGAACCTGAAGCGTTATTAACTTTCAGATTTACCGGTAATTGTTAATGTCCGTCCCCGCCCCCACGCCCTGCTTTCCAGCCGGGAAACCACTCACCCTGCAAGGCGGGAGAGCCGATAGAAATCTTCCCCCGACTTCTGCACACGAAGGGGGGCTGTTCGCTGTAGAGGGACTCCCTAAAACCAAGGCAGCAGAACCTTCCTGCTGGCAAGAAAAGGAAGGGAGTAATTGTCAAATGGAGAAAGACTGGTCGAAGGTGTTAACAATTGTAACAAGCTTAGCTTCAAATTCCCGAATTCCGCAGTGGGGCGCTGATGACTTTAAGGCGGTTTGCAAAAGCTGCGAATGGTTTTGCAGGAAGCTCAGAGGTTCCGGTGTCTTAAAGCTAAAACAGTTCCTTCTCCCCTTTCTCACACCTTTATTACCAATATCCATAGCCTCCTAAATTTACAAGTGACCTGATGGCAAGCAGTTTCCAGGTCCCTGAAAGTTGGCCCTAGCCCCGATAAAGTCGGATGGGGGAAAGGAGGTGGTTATTAGCATAGAAGTTTAGAACCAGCCGATTGAGTTTTTATCTCTGGAGACTAGTAACAAAGAAAAAAAAAAAAAAAAAAGGAATCCCCATGCCCTCCAAACGTACCTGAGTCAGTTTGCTTCACTTCTTCCCAAGCTGCAAGGAACTGATATGCACTCCAATCGCAACCTATTATATAAGCTGCTCCTCTCAGAATTCTTAGGGGCTCAGGGACTTGCCACCCTTCTTCTCTGAGCCACAATCCCCCCAGCCAAGCAATGACCCCAGGCACCTACTCTACCCTCTCCCCATTTGTATAACAAAAATCAAGTTAGTTCCTACTTTTGCTTAAGAAAATCATAATATACTATAAGGTTTTGTTTTAGATTAATATTGAATCCACATGGAAATGTTTTCATCTTCAGACAGCCTAGGGGACCTAGTAACTAGCTATTAATACAGAGATGGGCTAGCAGGTGGTGTAGTGGTTAGGGGCGTTGGACTCCCACATGGCCAAATGAGGTTCGAGTCCTGGACCTGGTGACTTGGCTTGCTTGCTCTCTCTCTCTCTCTTTCTCTCTTTCTTTTCTGGGAGGTTTATGTGATAGGATGAGTGTCCTCCCCAGAAAGACAAAGATAGAGAGATGGAAAGCAAGAAATCACCCCCCCCCAATGGGGGTCATGGCCATTCTGCAATCCCTGCTCCTCCATTCTCCTCTTGGGATCTTGGGCACGCTCATGCCCAGTGTGAGTTTAAGCCACCGCGTCCAGGACCTGAACCAGGGTCGACTACATGGGAGTCCAGCAACATAGCCATTATGCCAACTGCTGGTCCTAGCTTGCTTTCTCACTTTCCTCTCTTTCTCTCTGTTTTACTCTGGTCAAAAATTTTAAAAGTATTAATAATAATAAAATTGAATAAAATAAAAAATACAGAGACGGAGAGAGCCCCAGTAGTTTGGTTAAAGAGGAGTGTTCTTGGGACCAGCATTTGGCTTAATGGTTATGTCGCTGGACTCCCATGTAGTTAACCGCAGTTCGAGTCCCAGACCCAGTGGCTTAAACTCACACTGGGCATGTATGTGAGTGTGCCCAAGATCCTGAGAGGAGAATGGAGGAGAAGGGATTGTGGCATTACAATGACTAGGTCATTAAGTGAACTGGTGGATAAGCGAGGAGCTTAAAGGCAGATGTCTTTTATGCCGCCAAAGGGTATATATTTTTCAATAGATGTCATATGTCATCACACTTATGGTATATCGCCAAAGGGTATGTATTTTTCAATACATAGCATATGTCATCACACTAGAATGTAATTCTATCCATTCAAAAAGCATACATTAGATAAGCACCAGAAAGCAACAAGACATACCATAATAATATAAACCCAGTGTAGGGCCAGCAGGTGGTGTGGTGGTTAAGGCTCTGGACACTCCCACATGGATAACCATGGTTCAAGTCCTGGACCTGCTGGCTTGCTTCCTCATGTTCCTTCTCTCTATGTATCTGTCTATCTCTGGTCAAATGAAAATGATTGAATGAATAAATAAAATTAAATAATTCTTTAAAAAATAATATAAACCCGGTGTAATCATTATTCTAAATAATGAAAAAGTCTAAAGGAAACTCCAACTTGTTAACTTTGTTTTAATTTATATCTCTCACATATTACAGAACACAACAATGTAATCTGCAAAAATTATAAAAATGTACAGTGGGGCCGGCAAGTGCCATGGTGGTTAAGGACACTGGATTCCCACATGGCTGAAAGCAGTTCAAGTCCCGGACCTGGTGGCTTGCTCTCTCTTTCTTATGCTCTCGTTCTCTTTCTTGTTCTGTCCCTCTCTAGTCAAATTAAAGGAAATAAAGTTATATAAAATAATTTTTTTAATTGTACAGAAAAATTATTCCTAAAAAGGGCATTCAGATTAATAATCCAGTCATCAAATCCTTCAAAATGTGGTAAAGAATCCAAGGTCATCAGTGTTATCACTGGATTTATCAGGAGCTGAGGAGGGCCCTAGTAAGGTAAGGGAGATGACAGCAATGGATACCTAAGGGTAGGAGTCATGGGTGTAACAAGAGAAGAACCTTATTATTGTGTGTTTTTTTTTCTTTTTGCTGTGGGATGCATGTGCTCGCTGGAGACAGAGAGAGGAAAAGTGAGAAATCACCCCCTAGAGTGTATGGCTACACCACAGTCCCTTCTCCTCCACTATCCTCTTGGGATTTTGGGGTATACATGCACATGTCCCAATATGATTTTCAAGCTGCTGGGTCTGGGACTCAAACCGCGGAGTCAGCTATGTGGGATCTAGCTTGCCATAACCTCCATGCTACCTGCTGGCTCACTGCAGTCTGCTTTTTACATTTTTTTTTCTATAGAGTAAATGCACTTACTGGGGGGAGAGAAAGAGAGAGATAGAGAGTGAGAAAGCATCCTCCAAGGGGATGGCCACACCACAATCCCTTCTCCATTCTCTCTCAGTATTTTGGACACACATGCACACACACCCAGTAGTGTGTTTTTCAAGCGGCCAGGTCTGAGACTCAGCCTGGCTGTTGGCCATGTGGGATCCAGCTGCCTTAACCACCTGGCTGGCCCTGTTCTTCGTAAATTTCATGATAGCGTCATAGAGGTTCATTCATTGCCATTCCACTTTCATGAACCACTCAACATTTGGAGACGTCCCCTCTAGTTCTAATAAGAATCATACTCACTTTCAAAAACATACTGGCTAATCACTTTTATACTCCCATTCTTTTACACTTTTATACTCCCATTCTTTCTTCTTCAAAGTGCTGCTGTGCTTCCAGCTATATTAAATAGTAAAGTACAAATGTATGAACGGATTGTGTAGTCTTGCATGATCGTGCACTTCATGCAGTGAATATTATCCAATGGTGGGAACCAGTCAGACAGAGAAAGGGGATTCCCTGTGCTGGAGAACTGGTCAGAAATCCGAGCGGTCATTAAACAGGTAGGATGTTAAGTGAAGAATGGCTATACAAGACTAATAGCCAATCTGTATTGCATTATGAACCCTCTGAGTCTTAGCCACCTCCTCCACACCCAGAGGCATCACAGAGCCCAGAGCTGATGGAGGCTTGAGGATCTACCTGATCCTACCCTCCATACAAGTTTGTAATCAGCAAAACTTTGGATCAAAGAAAATAAACAAGGTTGGGCAGGGGCAAAAATGCATGCATCTGCCTGGTGGGGAACAAATGCCCCATTTAGAGGACTAGGGGGCCAGAATAGCCAGGTGCTCTGTTGTCAAGAGAAGCCAGATACCCAGATTTTTGTGTAATCTTGTCTCACTTTTTGAAGTGTTGGCAACCAGTTCAAATGTTGAGGAGGAAAAATAAAGAACCACTCTGTAAGCCAAGCAAAATGTGTCTATGAGTTACTGGGCTGTTGGAAAAGTCATGGCTTATTTTTCTTTCTATGTAAAAATGCGTCATGACTTTCCCGATGGCCCAATACCTATGGCCAGCTAGCAGCTTTGTGCTTGTAAGTGACCTGTTTAGAAGAGCAAGTAATGGAGCAGCCAGTCCGGAGCAATTCTTTTTGCCCTCAGCACAAGAGCAACACGACTTCTCTGGGTGGAAGTTTGTTTTCCTGGGACTGGTCCAGGATCATCTCATGCCTAGTTAGTTTGACGGCTCCCACTGTGTCTCACGGGCTGTCTGCCTCACTCTGCTGGATCCAGGGAGTTTTTAGGTGACAAGACTGGCTCGACACAAACTTGCTAGTCAATTCAAACCTCTGAAGTGAACGTGGGTACAGACGCAACATCACGAGAATAGCACCACTCTACTCAGACCAATTGGCTTTGCCTCCTAAATGGCTTCTCCTGGGGAACAAACTCTTTTTCTGATCTGCAGAGCCAGGGACTCAGTGTTATCTGGCAGACAAGAATCTCTACGGGGCCAGCAGGGGGTGAGGTGGTTAAGGTGCTGGACTCCCACATGACCAACTGAGGTTCAAGTCTCAGACCCAGTGGCTTGAAAACTCACACCAGGCAAGGTGTGTGTATGCCCGAAATCCCAGAGGGAGAATGGAAGAGAAGGGATTGGGGCATGGCCATCCCCCCGGGAGATAATACCTTACTTTTCTTCTCTCTGTCTCTTCACCAAGTGCACACACCCTATGGCAAAAAATAAACTGTGTGTTACTTTGTTACTTACAGGCAAAACCTGCGTGGCAAGTACTGGCACCTAGTTTGCAGTGCCCTATTTGCGGGGGGGGGATAGGTACAAATCTTTAAGGGACTGATACAATAAAGTTTGAGTTTATCTCTGCTTACCACTGGGAATTTAGAAATAGGACTAATTCCAGTGGCCAGCAGGTAGCATGGTGGTTAAGGGTGCTGGATTGCCACATAGCTGACCATGGTTCGAATCTCGGACTTGGTGGCTTGCTTTCTCACTTTCTCTCTCTCTCCTTCTCTCTCTCTACCTGTATCTTTCTGGTCAAATTAAAATAACAATAATAAATAAAGTTAAATAAAAATTATTTTAAAAAAGGAAATAGGACTAATTTCAAAACAAATCACTTAAAAATTCAGATGTTGTTGAATTGGCTTTTACAGAGGTTCCAGAGGATAAGCCTCCCTACTTGGCTCAGCAGTAGATTTGGGCAGCACTTTAACATTCATTTAGCAAGTGCTGAAGACCAGCTCTGAACAAGAACAGTGCTTTGGCACCCAGAGGTCTCTGGCTAGTCTCTGCCACCTAGAAGTTTCTTCATTTTGAAGACAAATACATTTTAAAAATTAAGTCACTTTTTTTTTTTTGGAGAGTTTTTTGCTATAGGGCACGTGCGCTCACCCGACAGAGAGAGACATAGAAACAGAAAGCGAGAAATCACCCCCCAGGGGGTTGGTCACGCCGCAATCCCCTCTCCTCCATTCTCCTCTCGGGATCTTGGGCATGCACGCACACGCACCGGGCGTGAGTTTTAAGCAACCGGGTCCGGGACACAAACCGTGGTCAACTATGTGGTAGTCCAGCAACATAGCCATTACGCTAACTGCTGGTTCCCATAAAATTAAGTCACTGTTCAAGACAATTTATTGTAAAATGCTGATGAGGGAGTCCATCTAGAAGAGTTTGAAGATTTAAGGAAAGAGGTCTCTGAAGCTTAACAGGCTGGGCAGTTTTATGGGTTACTTGAGCCGCTGTATAGTAAGCTGAGAGCATTTTGGATAGGAATAACAGCTGAAGTACAAGAACAGGTATGGAAATGAGTGAGATGTCTGAAGGACAGCAGAGAGGGGCCAGGATGAAGCAAGATATTTACAGTAAAGAACTTCCAACAGGGCCAGCAAATGGCATGGAGGTGAAGGCAGTTGGATCTCCCATGCCAGTTTGCATGGTTCAAGTAGCCAACCCTGCAGCTTGAAAACACACCAGATGCCTGTGTATGCGTGTCCAAAATTCTGAGAGGAAAATGAAGGAGAAGGGATTGTGGTATGGCTACCCTCGCCAGGGCGAG